AATCTTCAGTCTCTCCTTTCACAGGCAAGGATKTGGTTTTAGGTCTGAAGTGAGCTTTTGCCATGAGAGTCACATGAAATACAGAACTGTGTTGTGTTAAGAAAATTCTGATATTTTAAGATTATGATACAACATCTCTCCCCAGGAACTCATGCATGGCCATACCTGTCCGAGCACCTGTCTATGGACACGTCACRGATGAGAGCTCTTCTTGTTCCTATAGAGTAGCATCTCCTAGATACCCTTTCTTCCTCCTCTTCTCTGCATCTGATGCAGCACAAAACTACACATAATTGGCTCCAGATGGGGTGTTCTGGAGAATATGGCTGCTCTGCAGAAACAGCAGAAGAGCAATTCCCCTGAAAATACCCAGGCCACCAGGAGAAAGGGAGATGCTGGGAATGCTAGGCAGGTAGACTTCTTTAGACTTCTGTGTTGTCACATAGCTCCATGGGGTTCATAGCTGATTTTCAGTGCAGGCACTCTGCTTTCCAGCCTGGAGAGGACTTGGGGTGCTGTAGAAGTAACAGCTCCAAAACTCTGAACCGCAGATCCCTAGGAAGTCCAGAAAGCCAACTCCTGTCTGCAGATGAGCTTGGGGTGACCTCTTAAGTAGCAGTTCAAGAATTAACAAGCACAGGCCCCTCCAGGCTGCAGGAATGTTTACAGCAATGCAGGTGAGATAGGAAATCAAGCTAATGAGTGAGGATTAGTATTTGCGTAATGGGTAGTTACTCCCTCCGGTATTGGAAGAACTCAGATCGTTCAAATAAGACACTCTAATGGCATGTTTACCGTGCTGAGGGAGAACGGCTCTCTCTGCTCYGCATGCACAATGAGCCATGCAAGCTCCAGCTCTCGCTAGACCAGCTAGCAGTGTGGTGAGCTGTGTATGTGYTCCTAAGTCTGAGTCTAAGTTGGACTGCTTCTCCAACTTCCAGTTCAGAGATAGGTTTGGAGTGAGCTTGGATGTATCTGCACCCTTCTGTGTAAACAGGCATCCAAATCTGGGATGTCCTGTGTCCAAATCTAGGATATTCCTCTGCAAGRTGAAATGGTTGGAGACTTAAACAATGTGTGATGAGGGTCACCTGAACTCCTGATAAAGATTTGCCATTGCCTGGCACGCTCTTTATCTCATGTTTCTCCCAATCTAGCCTGGGATTTCTTCTCTCTGTGTTTGATTTGTTCCTCTTATTTTTAAGTCAATAGCCTGTCCTCAGCAAACCTCAAGGCCAACACAGATATGATCATGATGGAAAATTTTCACCACATTCACTGCTTCCTGTGCCAAAAGAAGATAGGCTGCCTGGAGGGCAAAAAAAAAGAAGCCAAAGAAAGATATAGTCAGCACCTGCAGAAATACATCATCAAGTACCTGGGCCAGCCTCTGGAGAAACTCCATGTGAGTACGGTTTAAACTGATCTTGTCCAGCACCTTTCCTTGGGTCTCAAAGGCAGCCACTGCGAGGAATTACGAACTCACTGAACAAAGTCCATGGCAGAGAAATTAATCTAAAGGTTCTGTAGAAAAAAATCAGACRATGTGCTGCCCCTCAGCTCCGCTACTGAGGTGCGTGACAGGATGATGTGGCAAAACAGGCAGAAAATGAAACCATAGAGGGAATTCTTTAGAGCTTCTAACCCTGATTTCTGCTCAATCAAACATAGGATGGGACGTGAGCAAAGGGCTCGAGTTTCAACCTTTACACAGGAGTCCACTTCAGGGCAGCTCATCAGTTGAGCATCCCTTTGCCTTTCTAGCACTTCTTTGAAGGCGTGAAGGCCCGTGTGGCTCAGGGGGTGAAGGAAGAGGAAGTCAGCTTTCATCTGGCCTACAGCAAGCAGGAGCTGAGGAAAGTCATTGAAAAATACCCCAGCAAGGAAGTAAAAAGAGCCCTTGAGACCCTCTACAGGAAAATTCACAAGCATCTCTGCCCAGAGGAAAATCTTTTGCCGGTAATTGCAATGTGGGCCTTGCAGCTGGGTGCAACGCTGTGATGTTTGGTGGGTTTGGGGCTACAAAGCAATAAATATGGTGGACATCTCCTGATCACTGTTTCTGTTCACCTTTCCAAATGCCTCATCTTCTCCTCTTTGTTAATATTCTACATCCTGATCCTCAGTGACTTCTCTGCTTCCTTCCCAGAGGSTTGAACCACTCTCCCTTCAGGGAGMAACTGAGATGAGCACCAAGGCATGGTCTAATAGTGCCCCGCATAGTACACAGCTGAGGAGGCAGCTAATGGTCTGCATGTTTTTCCCCAGGTGGTGTGGCAGGCCATGGAACAAGAGTTCATACGGCAGTACCAGGAGTTCGAGGATCTCATCCGGCGTTGTTATGCAGGGTCGGGGATCACTATGGACTTCACCATGGAAGACTTACTGAGCTACTTCAACTCCATCACTCTGTCCAACATGTAAAAGTTACCCTGTCTAGATGTATGAACCCCTGGCAGCCACATCTTTAAGGAGGAAAACTCAAATGGCAACCCCTTTGCAGGGTCTAGGGTCTCATCTTATCTAGGGTCTCATCCTGAACTTAATTCCAAATCACCTTTGCCTTTTCAGCCAGGAGAAATGGAATTTCCAGGCCCAAACCATAGCTTTCTTCTTCCAAAGAACCTTGGTTGGTTCCCAAATCTCATGTTCTATAAATACACCCCCAAATCTTGAATTTCTGCAAACTTGAGTGCCAACACTGTGCCTCTTCAGGAGAACACTTCCCAGTGTCCTCTCCAGCTGAACAGCAGAAGTCATCCTCTCTCCAATAATTCTCTTCCTTTTTAATTGTTTCCAGATTTTACGGGTTTTATTTGAACAAAAACTGGAGCAGAGCAAGCTCTGCTATTCTAGAAGTTCAACTGGTTTCTCAGGGAATTTCCTGTTCTTATAGYGTTTTCCTCAAGAAGCATCCCATAGTAATGTCCCAGTGTTGTTAATGTATTTCTGTTGTTGAAAATACAGCCTTTGCGTAATTTTTGTGTCCTGTGATGGTGTCTTGGCTCAGAACTGTTATCCAGTATGGCCATGCCATAACAAAAATTAATGCAAATGAGAGAATTCCTCAATTCTTTTTTTTTTTTTCGGATTTTATATTGTGGAACTCCCTAAAACCTCAAAGCAGGCTGGGGGGCCCATCTCAGGACTTTAGGTCAATCCCTCTTTCCAAGTGGAAAAGCAGAGCCTCAGGGTTCTGACAGGACTCAGTGACCTTGTCCTTCCACCCAAATTTTTGGCTGATATTTTGAAGAAATTTTGCTTTCCACTGCAGATGAGCACTCTTCAAACTTCTCTCAGTGCAGGCTATCTGAATAATCAACTTTCTCCTGAGGGTCAATTTTCTATGGTTATAGGTGCATAAATGGGCTGAAGGTAGACACTTTTCTGGTGAGTGGGAAAAAGTTCATCCTAGATATTCGTCCAAGCTGATGCTCTGCACATGGGTCAGAAATGGGCAAAAATACATGCAAATATTGCTAGGGAAAAAAAGGCTATCAAACTCCCTCACCATTCCTCTTTCCTTGAAATGAGCTGCTTTGCATGCTGCTTTGTCCCTGTGCTCAGAGAACACAGACCAAAGGGAGAACATGGTCTGAGCAGTTTCTAGTATTAGTATAATTACCTCTTGCAGGCAGAGTTGAAAGTCTAAGTAAACATATTTCCATCCTTTTATAGCGACACAGCAAGCTGGCACATTCTTTGCCCCTGAGTTTATAAACCTACTTTCTTAGGTACTAGATGCTGAAAAAGACAGGCATATGAAAAGCTCACTAAGGAGCTGCCAGGAGAGGATGCAGTGCTTTGAGTTTGATCTTTACAAATAAAGGTGAAGGGCTCAGTGCCAGCTTGCCTTCAAATGCAGGAGAAGCAAGAGACTGCCAGTGACCTTGGACAAGAACATGGTTTTCCATGGTGSGAAGAAATCAATATGCACTGCACAAAAAATGAACGAAACAGATTTTTTTTTTTATTGGTACCAAGATGCCTTTTTAGGGTACTGCGAATAGACCCTTGATTCTCAGCTATCTGCACAAATTGGAGATGTTTGCTTTCTATGAAGAACAGCTAGAACAGGTGGAGCGTGGGCAGTCTGAGGGCAGCAGGTTTGTGCATGATGTTTTTAACATAATGTATCCTGATCCTTGAGCCACTTGTCCCAGCAGCTTCTCCTCTGCCTGAAATGCTCAGGACCCTGGAGTCAAGTGCCTGGAATTCCAGAGCTTTCAAAACTCTGTTCTAATTTTTTGTTTGTTTGTTTCTCAAATTTACTTTCTGCAAAAGAAGAAAATCTCAAACTTTACCCCAGGTCACAGATTACCTCTTTGGACATGCCAGTTTGTCCCTCTACTCTCTTCTTGATTTCCAGAAATGTGAATACCACTCTGAGGCTCTTTTGTTGTGCTTCCTCGCTACATGCTTGGCTTGTTAGTGTGGTGCCTGCAATTCCTTCATTTTTAGCAGAATGAGAACAATGTCTTCCAGTGCTCCCAGGGACATCAAGTGTCTTTGAGACAGTAAGACCCGGATATGTTGAATGGTAGAAAATGCTCCTGGGGGCAAGGAAGAGAACAGGACCAGCTACTGGGGGAGAGGCAACTTGTAGCAGCTGCTGCTTGAAGTCCTTTCTCTAGAGACATTCTTGCTGYCTTCTTACCAGTAAGTCACCCTAGAATAAACAGCAACCTCAACAGTGTGCTTTTATATAGCTTTAATTAATACTATGATCATRTAATATGATGAGTTATGTTATAATGCTATAATACTATAATAATTAACATTAATATGGCTTTCCCCACTGTTCCTGGTCTTTATCCTGGACGTTTCAARCAGTGCACTCTGGTTGGACTTTCAGGTCCTTCTGCAGTTCAAAGTGCACCTGCAATGCTCAGAGCTCCTATTTCTAATCTATCTTGATTATTTACCTTTTTTTTTTTTTCCCTCTACATGCTTATGACCCTGCTCCCAGCTCAGCTCTGGCAGCAGGAAGCGGAAGAGCGTAGGGCTCTTTCCARCAACAGGCTCCCCCGCTGCTCTGTGTCTCCTGCTTGCAGGTACTCCGTTTAACTTTTGCACTCTGGCTTCCCTGTGGCTGTTTGCTAAGGGCTGCAAAGCGGATGCATCCCTGGGGCAGTGAGGTTGAAGTGGGAGCTTTCTTAGGCAGGAGGCGGGTGCTGCAGGCTGGGAAATGAGGGCTCTGCAAACAGGGAGCCTTCGTTAAGACTCCCTAGATAAGTGTTTCCTTGTGTTTCGGATAAGACAGGCACCTACCAAAAGGCTGCAGGGATTTGTACAGGGACAGAGGCCCAGGTTGCAAGGAGATAAAGTTGCTGAGCACTGAGCATCTTGTGCRAGGAAGAGGCAGAGTGCCTTCTCACTGCCTCTGCTAACAGCTTCTCTCCCTAACTGGAATTGGAAGGCAAATGGCAAGGAGAAAATGGGTTGGTTTTGTGGGCTATTTGTGCGTTTGTTTGCTTTCAATGTGTTTTCCATCTGCTAGCACCAATCCTATGGCAAAGCCATAATTCTGCTCCCTGCATGTAAGATCCAGATGCAGCCTTTTTCCAAGGGGATGCCAAACTCTTACTTCAGTCCTGAAACCTTCTTCTGGCTCCTTCATTTGAAGGTGAAGGAGGATGAGAGGGGACCAAAGAGGGTTGGAGAGATGGATCGGACACACTGTCAGTCCTTAGGGCTTACAAATTTTCCTGCATTGCAAGCTCAGTGTCTCAGTGACATCAGTCCCCAGTTCAGCTGCCCAGCTGGTGCTCCAGGACGTGCCCCAGCCCTTGGGCTCTGGCATGCTCAGAGCTGAGCTGGGCTCTGACACCCTTGCAGGGAGGAGAATATATTGATTCTGTACTTGTGCCACCTGCAGGTCAGAAGAAATCCTTTTTGATGTCCCTTCACAGTTCCAAGTTCACAGTTCACAGTTCCCTGAACTGGCTCCCTGAGGGTTTGGTTGCTCCTAAACCTCACCTGCTGTAGTTTCAGAGATAATGTCCTGGAAGAGAGAGCACATGAGTCCACCTCCTTGTTTCATCCAGCGACTGGACCACCTTGTGTTGACCGTGAAGAGCATTGAGGACACTGTGGACTTTTATTCCAAAGTCCTTGGCATGGAGGTGGTCACTTTCAAGGTAACACAGGTACACGTGAGGCTTAGGCTTAGGAGACCTGAAAGCGCAGTCCTGGGCTGGTGGCCAGCCACTGTGGACCTCTGACAATGTCTCTTGGGACATCTCCTTGGGGTGAGGATGCCATGATCATGACAAACTGTAGGCTGTCACGGTCTGAGCTCCAAGAGAGTCGAGCTGAGTCAAGGAAAGTTTTATAATGGTCTGCAAAGAGAAGAGGTTCCTAGATATTTCTCCCCTCTCTCTTCCCRCTGTCTCAGTTCCGTTCTTTCTGAAGTGACAATCGTTGCGTTATTGCCATAGCTGCTCTCAGTCTGGAGGATGTACAGAACTGAACACTGGCAGTGCTATGGGCTGGAAGAGTAGCTGTGAGCCATATACATCTCATGCTCCCTTTCCCGAGTCACTTCACAGCTCCAGAGATGTCATGTAAATATTGTAGGGGTCAGTTCTTACCATGGGTTACCAAAGCAAGAGTCCAGAGAATACAGCAAAGATACAGTCAAGTCTTCAGGTATTAGGACTAGACAAGTGAATGGATCTTGATAACTTCAAGGTCAGAAACTCTTATAGGACATTAATTCTTTTCTTTGGGGACAGGGAAACCGCAAGGCTTTGCATTTTGGCTGCCAGAAATTTAACCTCCATGAGGCTGGGAAGGAATTTGAACCCAAGGCTCGACACCCGGTTCCTGGTTCTGCAGATGTTTGCCTTATCACACAGACCCCSCTGGAGCAGCTACTTGAACACCTGAAGGTAACTTCAGTTGTAATTGCACTTGTTCAAATCAAGCTTCACTGAAATGCCTGCAACTGAACAGTATGAGAGCGCTATTGTCATCCAAAAGCTTTTGTTTTCAGGGCTGAGGGAAGTGTGCACAACACTCCTATAAGACTCAAGCACTAAACGTTGGCTTATTTGTCTCCTCACAGGCCTGTGGGGTGAAGGTTGAGGAAGGTCCTGTGGCCAGAACTGGTGCTATGGGCCAGATTACATCCATCTACTTCCGAGACCCTGATGAGAACCTGATCGAGGTTTCTAGGTACAGCTCGGATGCAGCAGGCATGACTGCAGTTAGTCTAGGAGAGCACTGACCACTGACCTGCCTGAGTCCCAGGAGGAGAGAGCAAACAGAGGCCAGGATTTTAATGGCCATTTTACATTCTGTTTTGCAGCTTAAAACATGACTCAGTTTGCAGACCCATGGAGCATTGAACAATAGGTCTGCACAAACTTTGAGAGCTTTCCCTCAATCCTGCTTTTCCAAATCTCCAGTGATGGAGACYTCATGTGCTGCCTCGATCATCTGTCCTGCTGCTGCACTATCCTTGCTGACACAACATTGTTCCTGATGTCTCAAGCTTCTTTTGCTGCATATCAAATATATGATTTTTGCCTCTTCACCATGTGCACAAAGAACTTGGCTTTCCTTTCCTCCTAATAGCTGCTTTATTTAAAAAATATAGAAGAGGGACTTTTTTTTTTTTTTTTTTTTTTTTTCCGAGGAGAGCAATTCCTCAGCTGGCCACACTGGGGTAGCAGCGTAATGGTTAAAGAAATAGTGCTAGATGGTAGATAGAACTCTTCTGACCTCTACAGCTAAAACAATCTTTAAAAATTAAAGAATTGGCAAACTGTGCTTTTCTTGTGTCTTTTTCTTCCTTGATAACATTTCCTGGGAAATCCAATATTATTCACAGTGGAAAAAAAAATAAAAACAAAAAGCAAAAGCAAAAACCCCCAAATCCCTAATAAATTCATGGCTGGGCCATGGAGACCTTCTCTTGGTTCCCTGCACGCTATCCGGGAGRCAAACAGAGGATTTCAGTGTATTACCACCTTACTTGCAAAATAGCACATTTTGCATATTTCCAGACAGCAGCATGAGCATCAGATAGAATCACAGAAGTCATGAAGTCCTCTCAAGTCATGAATTAATTTTCCTAAATGTATTCCTTAGTTAGCTAATTTAGTTTAGTTTAGTTACCAWTTTTTTTTAATTGTTTTGTGTTGTATAGGTGTGAATTTTACCCGTCAGAGTTATTGGCATGTGGGTACTGCAAAACTATCAGAGCAGCTCAGGGACAACCAGCCATTCACTCCCCTGACACCACTGCTCCACCCAGCAGGTGAATGAACTTCCATAACAACCCGGGAAGAAYAAGCTGAAGAAATGAGAGAGATGAGCAGAGTCACACACCAAGATGGACCGGGAAGGAAGTCTAGATTGCACACGGAGGTGTGCAGTCTCCTAGAGCCAAGGGGTTTGGGGAGGGGACCCTGGAGAGGGGAGCTTGAAGGGAGAGGAGCCTGAGTCCTGGCACCGTGTCTGTTCTCCAGAGTGCTGAATGTGCCGTGTCCATGGGGATGGGAGGTTGCTCTCCATGGGGATGGGAGGTTGCTCTCCATGGGGATGGGAGGTTGCTGCCCACGGGACAGGGCTGATCACAACATCCCTCTCCTGCCAAGCTAGGTCCGGCTCTGCGACCTCTGTCTCCTCCCAAAGTTGTCCTGTGGCCAGGGCTTCTCCTTAGCCAAGGAACATTCCAGGAGAGCCCCGCTCTTTTCTGGGCTGGTATTGCAGTTATTGATTGATTACTAGCACACACGCTGGCTAGTTCTGCACCAAATGTTCTTTTATTCACTGACCTTGTTACCATAAACATTTTCCTGAAGAAAGATTTCCTTTTCTTAATTTTATTTTGAAAGTCATTTATCTTGGAACAGCAGCAGAAGGAAGGACAAGGTCTCTTTTCTTATTTGGCCTGAGAGAAATTAAGGACTTTGGTAACACCACATTAACAATTCAATTGCCCTCAGTGTCACACAAGGTGGCCTGTGGTTTTCACAGGCCATTATTTTCCCTTCACTCTCAGAAGATTTCACTTCACTTGCCAAATGTTTGGATCTCCTTTTTTGCTAGGGAGGTTAAACATTCACTGTTGGAAGCTAGAAATAACACATGAGATCTTTTCCTGGTCTGGGAGACTGAACATAGTGTCAGGGGCCCATATTTTTAGAGAAAATATCATGAATGAAAACCTGTCACATCTGGAGGGTGTCACATCACCCTCCTACCTTCCTGCACCTTTCCTCAATTAATGGTTATCTGAAATCTAGTCATTAATGGGAAAACACTGATGACTTGTCATTCTTTGTTGAGAGATGTTTAACCCCAGCTAGGCTTTGCTGGATGAAAGATAAACATTCTCACTAGTAAAAATATCCATCAGGGCTCAGTGTAAATATGYGATTCTGGAGAAATCCTTGGCCACAGTTTCCAAATATACCAAGCCTTCCGGTTGACCTTGTCCTTACATCTGTTGGGCTTCCAGGGAGTCATCCTGCAAAAGCTGCTGCATTGTATATGCTTGGATTAAAGATGCAAACTTCATAGTCTGTATAGCGTAGCATCAGAACTTTACGCCAAAAAAAAAAAAAAAAAAGAATTTATTTCATTTGTTTATTGAGAAGGTTTCAGTGTGATTATGTTAGACATTATGACAGGATGGATTAACAGGCAAGCAGTTTTTGCTGTCTGGGAAGTGCTTTGCACAGACCACTACCAGCAAGCTAAACAGGAACTAGCCGACATTCCTCCTTGCCTGTCTCGTTTCATCTTGATCTCCCCAATCACACTGGAGACAGAGCCTTTGGATCTGCTGTCACAGCTCTTTGCTTAAAATGAAGAGGAACATCACACAGTTCTCCATTCTGCTGTTCAGAAAGGACTCACGAGAGCAAACCTTTAGGTAAACGGTCACTTAGGTATTATCAACAGTAATATTTCATTGCAGATGGGTAGATAGGTTAAGAGATACATTTCATCAAGCTTTCCCTCCTGGGAGGGGAATGTCCCAATGGCAGTCACAGCATGTAGGTGCCCAAATCGCCGTCCAGAGGGCTCATCTCTGCACTGACAACAAAGGCTGCTTCTGGCCAGTCAGCTCTTAATAGGTGCCAGGGCTACCTGCCCAAAGTCAGGAGAAACGTCAGGTTAAAGGCCTTGGCCTGGCACAGGGATGATCTTGCAGGCGGGGTGTGCTGTAGGTGTATAACTAATATTGGATCCCTCACCTCCAATAGTCATTCATTCAGAAAAGATATATGGGTCTCAAGGGCCCTTGAAGTATCTGTTCTTCACAGAGAGGTGACAAACACTTTCCAAATTCTGGGAGTAGGAATCYTTTGCATGAAAGAAGAAAAATAAAATCCCTCTATGTCTGAGAGTTTTGCTGACAGGGTTGTTTACAGTAAGTCATAGATATCATTATCTGCTTAACACTAACATTATCTAAACAGAGCCCAGAACAGCATTAAGGAAAGCACATAACTCTGGCCGAACTTCCTCTTCTTCCCAGACATTGAGTTTAAGCATCTTCTCTTTAGGATTTCTTTAGGCATTCTCTCTGTCCGTTCTCTGTTTTGAGCTAGATAATTCTGGACATTTGAATGCAACTAAAATATATATATATATATATATATACATTCTTCTTTGCGTGGGGTTGACTGGCTTCCACGTGACATCCCAGAATTCTCACAGGTGTCCATGGGATTTTTTGGTATTTTTCATGGCCTTTCAAGTCCTCAGGCAGCACCATCTGTGAGCTGAAACTTAATCTGTGCACTAAATACCCACACAGACACACCTCCTGTTTCACGGGCTCCTTAGGTAGTAAAGCATCTATTTTGATTTCAAGGGACAGAAACTTTTCTGTCATTGGAAATGAATAATAAAGCACCAATGAAGAAAGGAAATAGACTTTCACCTGGATAGATCCCTTACCCAAACCCCACTTTCCCCGCTCTCACAAGGCACAGGCCAGCTGGGAACTATCCGACAGGTTCTCCAGGTTGTCCACCATAGCAATGATGGCTTCTATTTTTTCATCTGAGAGCACATAAGAGGCATTGGATTGAAATTTCTTCAGGAGTGATTCTCTGCTCAGAGGATTCCTCCAGTGACCATAGAAAGTGTCACATTTGCCTGTCAGGACATCCCCACTGTGCAGAAGCAGTGCTACCTCTCCGTACATCTTGTCAAAGTTGGCCACATTATCTTCAGGATGCTCTACCACCACTTTGTCCAGCAGCTCTCTTAATTCCTGACGGTGGATGCTGTTGTCTGTGAAGGAGCTAAGGCCCACTTCACCATCCAGCAAGGCAGCACATGCATTGAACTGGAAGGAGTGTCTGGCCTCATGTTCAGAGCTTGGAGAAGGCCTATTAATGTACTTTGATACTGGGACCTTCAGCACAATGGTGCGGATCAAAGAGGGAGAGAAAGAGCCTGCATAGTTGATGAACAGGTTCCGGACAGACAAGGCAGCATCAGCCACCCAATGCATCCCCAGATGGGCTGGGAATCTCTTGAAAGCAATGTCCTGCTTCTCCAAGAGGAATTCATGATGCTCACCTGGTACAGCAAGTGGTTTGGGTTCATAGACATTGTAGAAYGCACTAAATCCAGAGCATCCAGGGATATCATCCAGAATGAAAGGGTTGGCCTCCATCCCTCGGGCAGCCAGCAGTGCCGCTTCGAGCCCCAGGCGAGTTGCGTTTCCCATGTGCAGCGGCTTGGCTTGGGTGGCAGCATTTGCCATCGGGGCCCCTGCAAAYGAAGCAGCTATGCCCAAGGCGTGCGTGCACTGGGCTGGGCTGAGGGAGAGCAGTTTTGCAGTGGCAGCTGCACTGCCCATGGTACCAACTACAGAAGGAGGATGGAACCTGAAGAGGAAATTGCAGTATGAGCACCCTGACAGGGCTGGCAGAACATGGCACAGGGACTAACACAGCACCTCACCTAACAAASTTACCATTGGACAGGAAAGGAACTGCTACATCACTGAAAACCCACCATGGGTCCATCACAAATAGGATTCATCTGACTCAGTRTTTAACCACCTGAAAACTAAGCACCTACTTGAAACTTCTGAGATGACRGAGTGAAAACAGCATCTCCCGAAAGAAATAATCATTTCTTCTAGAGAACAGGTGGCATGGCTCAGTTTGTGTCCATACAGCTAAACTTTCCCTCTCCCTCTCCTCATCTAAGAAGGACAGTTTGTGGTCTGTGCTGTCTCTCAGGTTGTGCCAGAGCTCTGCCTGGCAGYTGGCACAGGTCGGAGCTGTGCCAGGAAATCTACACAATCAAACTGTGCWCAAGCTTCTGGCCACTGTCTGATTTGTGCCCTTGCTCTCATTTGCTTAGATCAATACACTGC